AAGGTCTAGAGTTTATTGTTTAACCATTATCTGGAGCTAATTTACCAATAATCATAAAATCTTAGCCCATTACTCATAACATAAATACTTCGAAAGCTCTTTCTCATCTTAGCCCAAAAGAAAAAGAGTCTCGAAGCAGTAAAAGCAGTTGACTTATGCTCTGCTGAGATAGCAAGAATTCAATAAGCCTGACATTTTGTATACTGACTGCACAAATGAATTTTACTTTATTATGTTATTAGATCTATAATCTTTTTTAAAAAAAGGTAAACCAAATTATTTTAGACTAATCGAGAAGAAGAAAAAACTATCAGGCAACTCAAAAACATCTTTTTCTTTAGTCCAATTAGATTATAAGGGCCTATCTGGACCTGCAATATGGAATCGTGATTTGAAATCAGATTGAGAATTTGAAATCAGATTGATTTGAAGTTGAAGTTTTGTTTGGACATGTAATTCAGATTTTGTAAGTTGCATTTTTCTCATAAGCATGAAAACCCACAAGTTTTGAAAAACTATCTAAATTTTTCCAATTCTTATACAATCTTACCAAATAAAAATCATAGTTCATAAACAAAGTATCGTAATATCCTAAGGTGCATCATTGATAAATCGTATATGTTACTTTATAAATAAATGTTTGTGATTACAAACTTCCAAATAAACATAATTTTATACAAATCCGCTAGTCAACAATATTAGTAACTAGTTATTCTTTAATATAATCCATCCTTACACAAGGTACGGACAATTTCTTCATACCAAGCATGAGTCTTTTTTTGCAAAAAAACAAAATGATGTCTTATTTTTTACAAAATATAGACTAATGGGTCAAGTTTGGGTCAAGTTACACCTTGAAAAAATTGAAATAATGATTTGGAATTTTATTTTATTTTTGATAACCGAGAAATCTGTTTGTGACACGCGCACGCCTTTTGGACCAATCACAACCTTCTAAGCTCTGTGAATAATGGGTCCGCTCCTCTACCCTTCTCCACTTAAATACCAGGCTTCGATTTGCGTGGTGTGGGGCTTGAACCTGCGACCTAAGCCACAAATCCTCCAACCTTTAGCCACTCAAGCTAGGCCTTGGGGGCATCAAAATTTGGAATTACAAAACATGTTTTTAGGAGACTTTGAGATTTGAAATCATGAATTCATATTGCATGTCCAAACGCAAGCTAAACCTATTACTCCCTTCGTTTAAATTCATTTGTATGATTTTGATTTGGCACGAAGTTTAAGAAAGTAAAGAAGATTTTTGAGTCTTGTGTCTTGTTAGAGATATATAGAAAGTATCAAAATGTCATCTAATCTTGTGGTCTTAAACATGCAATGCGGAATGGTGAAATTTAAAGAGTTGCCAAAAAATAAAAGAGACGTCCATTTTAAATGGACTAAAAAGAAAGTAAAACAAATAAACTGAAAGGGAGGGTGGAATTTCTATAAGGCGACGCATTTTGTCTTTGCATATTGTCACATCCTTTTAGCTAGATCGAGAAAGAACCCTGCTTCACCTTAACTGCTAGTATTTGAACAAGTGAAAGCTCTATTGTTTGTGTATCCATTGAATTTAAAAAATACAAATATCTCAGAGATGGATAGATAAGTAAGAATTTCTTGAAGTAAAATTATTTACAAGTCAGTATACATAACTTAATCCAATCAAAGTATTGTTAATCAGGGTTGGCTTTGCTAGACAATTGTTCAATTTTCTTGCTGCTACCAGCCCCCACATGATCAACACTTGAGTAAAATAACCAGAAAAACACAGTAAACTTGCACAAGACACTATCGATTGGGTGAGGGAATCAGAAAGGGTCAAACTAGTGTACGATAAAAACACAAATTACTCACAATGCATGAACATAAAAGGATTATACAATTGTAAAAACAAACTAAAATGGATTAATAAAATCAAATTAACAACATAAAGGGTACTTTTTTTAAAAAAAAAAATTGGACGTACCCAGCTTTCACAGCAAGAGCAAGTGCAGTACTCATTTTGAGTTTAGAATTGGATCAGACATAGTAAGTTAACCCTATTCTCAAAGTACAATTAATTTACAATGTCAGTTTACATAACTTGATTCAATCTATTGTTCATTGGTGTTGCCACTCTTTCCATCTATCCTATCAAGACCATCTATCCTATCCTTGATGGACATAGTTATCTGGTATCTAGAGCCTATTGTTGGTGGAACATGACAGGTATTTGTGGAATCAGTAGAGGTGAACGAAAACTGGCACATACACCACGTTTATCAAAATCAAAGGGGATTGGCATTGCTAGAAAAATTGTTCAATTTTCATGGTGCAACTCAATCCTCTCATTCAACATGGAATAACACAAACATACAAACACAATAAAACTTACACGATACTCTTACCATAAACAAATCAGTGTACAGTCAAAATTCACAAATCAATCACAATATATATCACACAATTGTAGAAACAAACAATATAAATAGGTATTTCAAGGCATACCCAGCTTTAACAGCAAGTGCAAGTGCAGCTCTCATTTTTGGTTTAGAATTGGATCGGACATAGTATGTTAGCCCATTTTCGAGCTTCCCGTATTCAACCCCTTGCGGCGTTTCCGATAATACTTCATCCATATTCACATTTACAAGCTTCAGTGAACGAAATCTGTGCTTCTTCGGCAATATCGGCGATGATTCCGCCGGCAACAAATCCATTTTCCGGTGCCGTATCTTCTTCCTCTCCGGTCTCTAATTAAAACTAATTTAGTTTTTTTAATTAACTGTTCGTTTGTTTTTTTTTTGGCTAAGTATTTTTTTTTTATCGATTTGGGGAAAGATATCCTATATATAGGATCTACCGTAAGATAATGTGGTTTGCTAATATAAGTGTGACACGTCTAGTAACTTGTTTGGATGGTTTGCGTGACACGTATTGTCTTGTAATATTAGTTTAAATATAATATTTATTATTTATCGTTATTCGAATTTGATTATGTGATAATGTTTGTGGTGATCGATGATATACGATCGTAAATATCTATTTATAAAAAAGAGATATTAGTTTAAATATATTATTTATCATTATTCGAATTTGATTATGTGCTAGTGTTTGTGATGATCGATGATGTACGATCGCAAATATCTATTTATAAAAGAGAGATATAGATGTGAGATTTATAAAGAGCAGAATGTGGCGTTTCGAATATTTTAATCAGTAGACTCGAAGTTACAATGAAAAAGGAAACTACCAATGAAAACTATTGTAGAATATAACTCGAAGGGAGATGGAAAGCATAGACTGAAAGAAATGGGATGAGAGGATTAGATATTTTTCTCAACAATTTGTATAATCCCTAAATCACATATTACTAGTCTTTCGGATAGAATCGTTTTTACATTCGCTTCTCAATTCGGATTCCAAATTATTCTGGCTCTATTACTTGTTCTCAACTCAATAGCAATTGTCAACTGAATAACTATATTCGTAACTCTAATATTCACATCAGGCTAGACTTATTTTATAACAGTAATAAAATACGAAAACATCAATTTTATTTTATAACTATCAATATATGTAGTTATTTTTTATCAAAATCAATGAAGTATGAAATTTTAATATATCTCAAACTCTTGAACATAAAAAAACAGGACTGATTGCAAATATGTCAACAAAAATTACATCAAACATTTAGAACCAGAAAATAGTATTTGAGAATTAACTATGCTCTATACAACCAAATATATAAATTATAAATCTAATAACAAAAAATAAAGGAGAGAGAGAGAAATGGGCAATTAACATAAATAGCCATATATTAAAATAAATAAAATAGCCAAAGTGATTTTGTATGTTTTACTAGCAATGTAATTAGAAAAAGTTATACAAATACACAATATAAGATATCATAATCTTTAAAATTTTCTATCGTTTTTTAAAATTACAAAATCCTTTCTTGGACACATTTCATCCCCTCTCGGATACGTTCGACCTCCTCAACGATACACCTCTATCCTCTCAGATACATTTCTATCCCCTCTCAGATATAGATATTCATGGTTCGGTTTGAATCAATTATTGGTTAAAATCAAAAGCAAACCAATTTACTTGATTTTAATGTTTCAAAAATCAAATCAAACGAAATGAAAAAATAACCATCGATTTGGTTCGTTTTTTTATATTTTGGTATGAAAATAATAAATTTGTTGATGGCATACCATCTCGATAGACATAGACACCTAATACATGAAAATTTCATCGAAAAGCAAATGTGGATTCAATTAAATAACACTAGGGTTAATATTAAACAAACAAAGTGATTCAGTCATATCTTATGTGAACAATGATAGGTAAGAATAAAATAATAGATTTTGATGGACTTGCTCTTAGGATTTTAGCAGTTGTGCTTCAAAAAAAAATTGAAGTCTTAAAATTAACTATGATTTAACAAAATATTTATATTCTACTCGTGAATAATATATAATAGTTATAAAATTATATATATATAATTTCTCAGTTTGATTTAGTTATTTTTGCGGCTTTTCAATGAAACCAAAATTAAACCAAATAATATCAGTTTTCAAAATTTAAAACCAAACCTAATCAAACCATACCAAATATGAGGTCTCATTCACCTGGTTCAAATTGCAGTCTGGTTTGATTTTTAACCATAACCATAAACAACCCTACTCTCACATACATCTCTATCCTCTCTCGAATACATTCCTATCCCCTCTTGAATACGTCTCTATCCTCTCGAACACATCTCTATCCATCAGATACATCTATACTTTTCTCGAATACAACCCTTCCATTAGATAACGTATCATTTGCTATGTATTAGATAACCAAAGAATGTATCCGAGAACAATGAAAATTTTGAAACTTTGCAATTGGAATTATACATGTAATTATTTTCGGTGGATCGGGCGATTAGTTTCCCAATTGGATCGGGTCATCGTTTGGACTCTTTACCGGAGGCCCAAATTTTCACAACAAAGGCCCAGTACAGTTTCACGCATTAAAAACTTCCCTATAAATACAACTCTCCCAAAAACCCTAACCCTAGAATTTCAACTTCCGCAGCTCCCAAACGATTAGCAGCTTCTCCGACGACCGGCGACTCAGAAATCAACCATGGGTAAGCTCCGGCGACTCTTAAATACTTGTCTCTGTACTGCCAGTTTTTTCAATTTTTGCCATTTTTTTCTCAGAATAGGTACAATTATTCCGTAGTAGAATGGAACTATAATTACTGGATCTTCATCCACATAGAATATCATATAGACAATTTTAGTGTCTCTGTGTATGGAGTTTTAAGATATAAAGTCGGAATTTTGAATCTTGTTATCTTAAATTTGTCACGTAGAGTGGATAAAGGGAAGCAAAGACAGTTGAATTGTAGTAGTTGTTGAATATGGATTTAATTTGTAGGTTTTGATTTTGTTAATTGTAGGTAAGGTTCACGGATCACTTGCTCGTGCCGGTAAGGTTAGGGGGCAAACACCAAAGGTTGCAAAACAGGATAAGAAGAAGAAGCCAAGAGGACGTGCACACAAGCGTATGCAATACAATCGCAGATTTGTCACTGCTGGTAACATTGCTTTCCTTTTGTTGTTTCACTTTATGGAGGCAGTATGTTTACTGCCGTATATGCTTGAATTATATATGGAAGTATAACATGGAAGTATAACCTAATTGAATTTATGCCTATATGCAAGCAAAAGCAATAAAGTTTATGCCTTTAACCAAGTTTGTATCTTTTGTCCGAAGATAGTTGTAGTTTTGTTGATGCTCATTGATATACAGTACCTTCTAGTTTAAAATTATTGTTTCTATGGTCTTCATCTTATACATGAAATTGGCAAATTTATATTAGTTGACATTAGCACTCCTTTTCAGGATTAGGGGAAGTTTAAACAAGATTTGATCTGTGAACAAAGTAGTCATTGACAATTATACATAGATTGTATGTGTGTGTGTACAAATCACTTGTGTATGATCCATATTCTAGAGTATGCAAGATTGTGCATTGCTGTAAAAGTAGCTTTGCTGGTGCATGCTCCCTAGAAATCTTTGAATTTGAATCTTTGCAATAAAGAAATCTACTTCTACTTTTGGGACAGTCGAATCTTAATTATACATAATATCTATGTGGTTTAGTTTTGGTTTTATCTGTTTCCTCAAGTATATGATCTTAACACAGTGATGGTACTATTTCGTTTCTTCTTTTAAAGAAGCAAGTAATGTAACTGTTAACACCTGTAGACATACACAATGATGTTCAGAGATCAAATGTGTGTACAAATTGCTTATGTTCCTCCTTAGATGTGCATATACTCGAGTATACTAATTATGCTTGTATTATGCTGGTTACGGAAGTTCCAGGGAAATTTTACCTCATAGGATATCTCCCAAATCTGCCTTATTTTTTCTTGCATCTGCTACTAAGTAGAGTTCTGATTGCAGATCTTTAGTAAAGTATCTGAGCTGTTTAATTTAAGGTTTCCTATTTCTCTTCTCATAATTGTATGTTCCTAGCATTGAATCTGTTGTACTTCAATGAACAAGGGGCTGTGATGTTTCTTTTGTGTTAACCTTTTATCTGTATTTGGTCAATACTTGTATTGTATGTGCGCTTTATTTTGGTTACGTCTGCTTGCAGTTGTTGGCTTTGGAAAGAAGAGAGGACCAAACTCTTCCGAGAAGTAGATGACGACGACTTTAGTTATTTTAGGTTGAGGAGTTACTGCTTCAAAAGTTTTCATCTTTGTGATGTTTATAAATTTTGATTCTCAAACCTCATAATGAGAAAAGACTGGTGTTTGTAGGATGGATGATTACATTCTGTTTTGCAAGAATTAATTGAATTTTATCCTTTGGTCTTTCTACTGATTTTTATTCATCGCTTGAATGTTTTATGCTATTCATGTTTAATGATTCTTGGAGTCACCCTTGTTGCTATTGCTATGCTATTAGATCAGATAATACATGATAGAATATGTTTTTACAATAGTGCTATGCTGAAAACTCAACTTCTATTTAGGAATTTTAGAAATTATGATGTTGGAACTGTAATATGAACATGCTTTTACAATCTATATATGTAGTGCTATGCTGGAAAACTCAACTTCTTATTTAGGAAATTTATAAACTTTGATGATGGAACTATTATGTGAACATGAAACTAGCTTTTGACCATAGATTTTCGATTATTATTAGCAAATATTATTTTAGTGAAAATTTGGGTGAAATTTCACTATGTATTTGGCCATAGGATTTGGGAAATATATTTCACCTTTTTAGAAAAATATGATTTATACACACTAAAAGTTTGTATTACAAGTCAATTGGATGTTCGTTACAACAATAACAAATAGTGTCCATGACACTAAAACAATGTGGTAATTTGGAGTGAGTGCAATAAGAATTATTTCATACATCGTGAAGTAGACAAAGCACACGACTTTAATACCTAGAGCCAATTTTTAATAATTTTCATCAACAATCATATCATTATTCAATATTCACTAAATATTTCATCACTATTTTGATATTCACGTAAAAATTATGTAATACAACGCAAGCAACTACTAGAAAGGGTGTTTTTGTAAAAGATAAAAGATTGGGGTAAAATTTTAATTTTCAAAATATTTCAAATAATGAAATTTGGCCCAAATAATGAGATTTGACCTAAATACTAGAAAAAACTAGTATTTAGAAATTTAGGATATTTGATAAAAATATTTGCCAAATAATGACAAATTATATAGACAAATATTATTTGCTAAATTTTTCTCAAATATTATTTGAAAAATTTATGGCCAAACGTGCCCGAAGTATCTATGGTTTAGTGGTTGGTTCATAACATTAACACTAGTATATATTTATCATAAAAAGAAGCTAGTACAAGTGCACAACATAATTCATTTGAGTCTTCAAATACAACACCATTTTTAGGTGTTGGGAGGTGTTTCACCCTATCCAATATATTTAAGCTTAAAAAAAAAGAATGCATAAGCAAAAATAACTTGTTTACAGTTCAATTGTCTGTATGGGTAAGTACCCTTAAAGAAGCACAATGGGATTCAATGTTTATAACGTACAACAACTATACCTCAGTCCCAAATAAGTTGGAGTCGTACTTATGTGAGACATGATCAACCAAACTAGCTCTAACACCCAACTTGATTTGGAATAAGTTTAGATATCAAGTAAATAGAAAGAGAGGAACCTACTTCTGCTCGATTGCATGTAGCAGAAATTATTTTCATCCGCAAGGTCTCTCATAAGACCTTACAACTCGTCATGAACATTTTGATCTCGAGTGGTTGATTTCAACTGATGTTCAAGAAGGTAAGTCGTGGCTAACGATGCATGTAAAGCAACACCATATGGAAGTACATCTTCATTGACTCTGTAGAAAGGGGAGTGTCCTGACTCGAATCGTCCTTTAGTTTCATCAACCATTCCAAGTAAGTAAAAGCATCCAGGAATAGCCTCAGCAAAGAACGAAAAATCTTCTGTCCCCATCGTTGGTTTCATTGCTATGATCTTGTCGATACCAAGCATCTGTCCAGCTACATTTCGGAATTGTTCATGCAAAGCTTTATTATTCACTGTCACAGGGTAAAACGGCCTGTTTTTTGTGTCAAAATCAACTGTTGCATTGCACCTTTGTACAGCAGCTTGTCGCGTGATAACCTGTAAATTGTTTCCAACAGTACCGGAGCCATGAATTTGACAATATAAACGAATTACACACACGTAGAAAATAAACAGTGTAATATTTCACTCAACTAGTCGAGTTTTTACCATTCAATAGTCATGGCCACATTCATTTTGTGGAACAATCTTCAACTATCATATGATAGTTTGAGCATTCACTTACTAATATTAAAGATATACCTCTACGATTCTCTGTTTAAGTTGCGCGAAGCTTTCTTTTGAGAATGCCCTGAAAGTTCCACCGATTGTTACAGAGTCTGGTATAACATTAAACGCGCCACCACCTTTGAACTTTGCAACTGTAACAACCTGCAAAATCATACGCCTTTGAGGTAATCGATAAATAAGTTGTAAAGGTCAAGGTAAAGTCCTTGGAGAATGAAAAAGGTACGAGTATTGTTCTTGAACATTTAAAATGATTATGTTTATTTTACAAGTGTTACTATTCCATGAGATACTTCTGCATCGATCCCAAGAAATTTTGAGGATGCTAAGATAAATGTGCGGTCATACAAGATTAGAAATGATCACATTCACAAGAAGGTTTAAGTAGTACATATCGAGTATAAATTGATAGAATATCATTTGAGATAATTTGGTCATGTTCTATGTCTACCTCTCGATGCACAGGTAGGTGAGGGTGAAACCATGGTGAGTGAATGTGTTAAAAACAGGACGAGGTAAACCTAAAATCACATGGAAAGACGTTGTCTCGAAGAATCTACAATTTCTTGGGATCCATGCACATTTAGCGAATAGAATAAAATAAAATTACATGAAAGGAAATTGTCTCGAAGAATCTACAATTTCTTGGGATCGATCCATGCACATTTCGCGAAACATAGGATATAGTGGAAGAAAAAGATCTATATAGACGATAATTATTAGTCGAGAATATGATTTAGACATGTTTGTACTTTTATTGTAGGTCCAATGTTTTCTAGTAGTGGTTTAGCCTTAAGGAAAATTGGAAAAATATCGACAACTTGTGTACATTTGCATATAATATTGGCTTGAGATGAATTTAGTTAAGAGTAACATGATCAGTAAGGATTCACATAGCCGACCCTAAACTTGCTCGGAACTGAGGTGTAGTAATGGTTGTTGCATAAATAACCTTTGCACAACTGCTAGTACATATGCAAGTTTTGAGATATATGTGCATGTGCTGGTATTCACATGATACTAAGATTAACGAGAAAGAGTTAAGAGAGTGAGAGCGCGCACCTGTGAATCCAAGGGATCAGTTTCCCGCGAAACAAGATGTTGTAAACTAACTACGATGTTAGAAGCTGCTAATATTGGATCTATAGTGTGCTGAGGAATTGCGGCATGACCGCCTTTCCCCTTTATTACTGCCTCAAAGAAGCCACTTCCAGCCATGATAGGGCCAGAACTGGCAGCAACAGTGCCAATAGGACTCATGGGGGAAATATGCAGACCGAAGATGGCATCAACATTGTCAAGTATCCCAGATTCAAGCATTTTCTTTGCACCTCCACCTCCCTCCTCGGCTGGCTGAAAAACCAAAAGAACAGTTCCCTGCCATCAAAAAATTTCGATCAGTGAATCCCCGGCTCCCAACTCAAAAAACATCCATGGTTATTCATATATGTTGATCCAACTGTTTACTCCTTGAACACAGAACTAATATCTTCAGAACAAGCTATATAAGTGTGATAACAATTTTAAGTTATCCGACTAACAAAGGCATTCTAAATCCACTTAAATCAGTTTGAAATGCATAGTAACAAGAGGACCAAGTCAGTTGAATGAAGAAATTCACGTCTAGAACTATGCTGCTCGAACTCCCCAAATGCTTCTGCACCCAATGTCGGATTCTCTAATAATGCACCCGTTTTGGAGGATCCAACATGCACCTGATAACATTTTTAAAGAGTCCGAGCAACATAGGTCCAGATAACCCTTCTAAACTGAACTATCGACAATCTACAACTTCTATATATCAAAAGGTAACTGAGAGCAACTACTGAACTTTTATCTATTGAGCAACTTTCCCTCATTCAATCCAAGCTAAGAGAGAGAACTACAGTATGAACCTGCAAAATATCGCGCTGCTCTTGAAGAATCTTAGCAGCACCTAAAAGCATAGCAACATGGGCATCGTGTCCACAAGCATGCATCTTGCCCGGAATTTTACTCTTGTGTTCCCAGTCCACTTCCTCCTGCGCCAATCAACATCATATTGAAGGCAAAGTGCAACACAAATAAGTTACATGTTAGAGTTTTAAATCTTGAGTTCTCCTCCCCCAAAAAGAAAATATATTGTTACAAACATCTATCACAAATTATCAACACATACGATAAGGCAGACCAACCTCACATTGTCATTTGTCTAAACTATCAAATATTGACATGAAAGGAATACAACAACAATTACGCTTCAATGTTTAACAAGTTAGGGTCAACTATACGTATCCTCACAACCCATGTCATCCCATTTAAGCTCATCTCATGCCAATATAATTCCAAAAGAAGAAAAAGAGAACTAACATGACTAAAACATTGACAAGAAAGGAATACAAACCAACTCCGTCTCAATCTCCAACAAGTTAGGGTCAGCTATATGAATCTTCATCAGAAACCATATCACTCCATTATCGCTCATCACAGTCCAACATAATTACAAACTTAAAAAAAAGTACTAAAATGACTAACACCTTGACAATAAATGAATATATGTACATACAATTAGAAATGCACATAAAACATACAATCTCTAACAAGTTAAGGTCAACTATATGAATCCTCACATACCATGTCACGCCATTTAAGCTCAATTCAAGACAATATAATTCCAAATTACACAAAGTACTAACATGACTATAACATTGACAAAAAGGAATACAACAACGATTACACCTCAATCCCCAACAAGTTAGTGTCAACAATATGAATCCTCACATACCATATCTTTCTATTTAAGCTCATCTCAGGCCAATATAATTGCCAAATAAGAAAAACATATCTAACACGACTAAAACATTGACAAGAAAGGAATACAATTACACAACAACGATTACGCCTCAATTCCCACCAAGTTAGTCTCAACTATATGAATCCTCACATACCATGTCGCTCCATTTAAGCTCGTCCCCGACCAAAAGAAAAATACTAACATAACTATAACATTGACAAGAAAGGAA